TCGAACTCCCGACCTTGAGGTTAGCAGACCAATTCGTAACCACTATGCTACCAGAGCTCCTTAGGTGCTTAATAAGTATTTGCTATATAAAGGAAAGTAAATTGTAACCATCATGGGAACTGGTATCATGTCAAAAAGTATTTCAAGCAATCTCCTCCCCCTTTCAGTGATTTCAAATTTAAGGTAAATTCAACTCATTTCATAAATTCCACTCTGTTCATTTCTATAGGAAATAAGATGGCCTTTGCTGGCAATGACCCTTATTTCTCCCCTTAGTATTCACAAAAGGAAGTCAATCTTCTCCATTTGGTTGGCTATTAAAACATATGGTTCTACCCTTATACAGCATCACAGAATAGCTGAACTCCAAAAATTAATTATAGTTTACTATCAAACAGGAGTCCTGGTGTGGCGCTGTGGGTTAATACGCCAGACTGCAAAGCCATTTGAACTGCAGAGTCAGCAGTTCAAGCTCAGCAGCTGCTCCTCGGAAACCGGAAACCCTATACAGGGTCGCTATGGGTCGGAATTGACTTGATGGCACTTGACAACAACTATCAAACAAACCTACTCTCAAAGCTCACCTAAGAGAAAAAGTATACATGCAAGACAAAAATGTACCCTGGATTTTGGCCAAATCATAAAAAAACTGAATTTATCATATTGGTACCCTATACTTAAATACAGTTAGTTTTTCTGTAGTTGTAATTTGAGTTCCAGCTACCTTTCTACTTTTATTTACTTTCTCTTTGCCTTATTTTCCCTTCCATTTTTTTTTGTTTTTTAAATCTAACTATGTGCCATTTGTGAGTAGCCTTAATTTCTTTGTGGAACAGTACCAGCATCAATAAACATGCAACTATACACAAACCAACACTAACTTTAAATCTTAAGAGCATCTAATATACAACTAATATTTATTTAGCACCTACTTGATGCCAAGCACTAGGCTACAGGCTTTGCCAGTAGTAATTCATTTAATCCTCTCTCGGAAACCCTGTACAGGGTCGCTATGGGTCGGAACCGACTCAACGGCACTTAACAACAAAAACAACAACAACAGGTCTGGTAGCATAATGGTTATGAATCAGGCTGCTAACCTCAAAGTCGGCAGTTCAAAACTACCAGCCGTTCCATGGGAGAAAGATGAGACTTTCTGCACCTGTAAAGATTTGCAGCCTCGGAAAACCTGTGCAGGGTCACTATGAGTCAGAACCGACTCCACGGTACTTAACAACAATAACTCTAAGAGGGAGTCCTGGTGTGGCACTGTGGGCTAATGTGTCAAACTGCAAGCTCAGCAGTTCAAGCTCAGCAGCTGCTCCTCGGAAATCCTACACAGGGTTGCTATGGGTCAGAATCGACTCAATGGCATTTAACAACAACAACAACAACTCTTAAGATGGAAATATAATTACTATCATCATTTTCCAAATGAGGATACTGACACACAGGGAAGTTGAAAAATTTGCCCATGATCACACAGTTATAAAACATATAACCGTATGTGGAGATAGGTTATAAAGCACTGGAGATAGGTTTTGGACTTAGAAACTCTGGTAGCATAGTGGTTACCAATCGGCTGCGAACCACAAGGTCAGCAGTTCGAAACTACCAGCTGCACCTCGGGAGAAAGATGAGCCTTGGAAATCCTGTGCAGGGTCGCTATGAGTCAGAACTGACTCCACGGCACATAACAACAACAAATAACAAGTCACATTCCATCTCATTAATGCCCCACTATGATGACTTTTCATTCCTCAAAATTATTAAATGACTTCGAAAGCAAGGTATTGTGGCACTGTGGGTTAGTGCGCCGGACTGCAAAGTCAGTTTGAACTGCAAGGTTGGCGGTTCAAGCTTACCAGCTAGCTGCTCCTCAGAAACCCTATACAGGATAACTATAAGTCAGAACCAACTCAACAGCACTTAACAACAATAAAAACAACAAAATAATATAACACTCACACAGCATCTTTTTTTTCTAATACTGAACCTATTTGTTAATCCTCATAAAACTACCACAAATTAGGAACTGTTGCCCCCACTTTATAGATGAGGACTGAAGAGATTAAATTACTTTCCTGAAGTACCACGTAGTAAGTGGAGGTTAGTTTTTGAAAACCATTTGCCTCCAAAGTCCACACACTTAACCATTACTTGCACTGATTCTCCTCCCTCCATCACTTTCTGACACTCAAAATCCAAAATAAACAAAAGAGAGTTATGACAAAATTAACTCCACATCCCAGATACCAAAACTAAAAGTTTCTAATTCAACAGATTTGGGATGTGGACCAATATCTGTATTTTTTTGTAAGTCTTATAGGTGATTTTTTTTTTTTTTAATAGCACTTGGTTAACATCTACTGCCCTGCATTTCTAAACTGAATTTAGCTGGACTTTTTAGGGGGTGATGATAGATGGAAGGATAACTAGAGAAGCATGAATATATACAAAGATGTGTGTGTGTGTGTATGTACGTATGTATGTATATATGAGGGGGCTTCAAAAAGTTTATGGAAAAGTGGAAATAAAAGATAATGAAATTTTTCCATGAACTTTTTGAAATTCCCTTGCATAGCTTCCCCCATTCCACTTTTCCAAAGAAATAAGATTAATAAGTAGGGAAACACAAGATAAAGTCAGAAAGGTAACGTAGTTCTTTATATTAATCAGCTTTGATTTGTATCTTAATAGCAAAAGTGGCAAAATAAAGGGGATTTTTTTGTTTGTTTGTTTTTATGTTGTTGTTGTGGTTTAGTGCCATCAAGTTGATTCTGATTCACAGTAACCTGTATAGGGTTTCTGAAAATCAACTGGTGGGTTTGAACCACTGACCTTGTGATTAGCAGTCCAGTGCTTATCCTGCAGCGCCACACCAAATGCATAAAAGCCATATTAGTGCATTTAAAAGGTAACTCCTGAGAAAGGAAACTGTAGACAAGAAGAAAAATCAGTCAAGAACACAAGAGTAGAGGTACAACAAAGGCGTAAACTGAGTAATTAAAATGATCAGTTATGTCGTAAATTTAAGAAACCTCTTTAAGGTAAAACTGGTAGGACTTGATTACTGATTACATATTGTCATTACAATGAATGCCTCTAAATATGTTTTTACAAATAATCAGGTAAATATTGGTGCCATTAAACCAGATCTGAACCTACTAAGGAAAAATAGTGGTTTTTGCTGGTGACAACAGTATTATTTGAGAGAGGGGTATATTTTGGCATGGAAAAGCAGATTCTGTAGAATGATGTGAATGTATGCGCATGAACTTGCCTTGAGTGATAGCAGAGTTATAAAATTTACAGCAATTTTTAAAAGTTAGAATATAAAAAGGAATCTGGAAGGAAGAAATAAGTTACATATTTCACAACTCTGCTTCATTACCTCCAGTCTTCTTTCAAAAGCAATCCTAACCTGAAAAGAAAAAGATTCAGTTCAAATGGAAATACCCCTTTTGAAAAATCCTGGACTGCATCCGTCCAGATAGAAAAACCAAACAAGATGACCTTCAAATATGCAGTGAATGAAGCAGAGTATCAGCATCCACCCTGAATATAAAAAGGCAAAAACTGTTAAGGGACATGAATATTTTTTTTTAAAGGGGTGGGGGGGACCAATCTAATTTAAATAGCCAATAAGTAAAAATATAGAGTCTTTTTCAAAAGAACTTTTATTATTTCTCATTCTAATTACATTAATACAAGACATAATGCACCACCTCTCTTCTTCAGACAAAAAAATACGAAACGGAAAAGTCATCACTACCCAATTTTCAAATGTCACTCTTCAGATTAACAGTAACACCAGGGTCATATTGGTTATTCTACTGTCTAGTCCAGTAGTCCATAAACCAAACAACAAATGCTGCCAAATAATTCAAAATGGTATGGGTGGGAAGAGGAGCAGAGAGAATATATGGGTGAAACACAAGGTACATTAAGGCACTATGCGGAGTAAATACTCCCTAGTGTTGGATGAGTCATCACCAATCTCAGCTGTTTACCAAATACACCCACACTGAGAAAAGCTGCCAATGGCATGTCACGAAGCTGAAGCCGATGGTCCTTACTAATAGGCTTAAGAGGCCTCTTCCGAACATGGAACATTGTAGTTCCTAACGAAGTAGGAGAGGATCACTGCCCACTTCCACCAAGCTACACCACAGATAAAACGACAGAAACATCACAGAGACGTCCTGAACAAATGCCTTTTTAGAAAAACGTGGAATGGCGAAAATCTATCTCCAGCTCCATAAATAGAAATATGCCAGGCTACTCATAACACACAACCCACTAAGCTGTCTGGTAAGGTGGATCCAATGAACATTTTCTAAGTATACAGAGGTACAACACCTACTCAATTCCTCTCGAATGGGGAGCGGCATAGTCAGCTTTACCGGAGAGCAGCAAAGAAGTGCAAGTTAAGTGAACGCGCCAAGAAGACTAGAGGCGTTGGACTCAGAAGAGTCCATATATGGGAAAAGTGAATTAGAATAAAAGGAACTAGGAAGCACCTGTCCTTAGAAAATATAATATGAATAAAATCTTGACATGGGGGCAGAGCAGCGTCGAGGCCTAGGTGGCATCGGGACACAAACCGGGTCTCTAGTTCCCAGCTCTGGTAGCGTAGTGGTTACGAATCGGGCTGCTAAGCTCACGATCAGCAGTTCGAAACTACCAGCTGTTCCGCGGGAGAAAGATGAGGCTTTCTCTCCCGTAATTTACAGCCTCGGAAACCCTGTACAGGGTCACTATGAGTCGGAACCGACTCCACGGCACACAACAACAACAAATTCCCAGGCTGAGCCGGCATTTTTGGGGAAACAGCTGACACCAGTAAGTCCTCCTCTCTTACTCTTCGCTTACATCTGCTATGAGCTATCTATGCCTACTGCAGAACAGTGTTCGCGTCCTTCCGCGACCAAACTTTAGGCAATAAAAGTCCCCCGTCCGAGAGGAAAGCAAGGGTGCCTCCCCAGGCCGTTACTTACCTTCCCGCTCACTACACCCGCCGCCGCCATGTTCCCTGCGCGTGCCTATGATGACGTACCGGAGCCTCACGTGGCTCTCAGACTCACAACAACATCCGGCAAAACTAGGAACGCATCCGGACGGGTAAGGGGCGGGAACGGCGGGTACGGCTCAGAGACGTGGGGTGGGGCGGGAGCCTCCCAACGCATGCGTGCAGAGTAGGTCTTGGAGGCCTCTGCGGTGACGTATTTGCCGCCGGACCGCGCGTGTGCCGATTTAATTTTTCTGGGCGGGAACCTGAATTGAACTGAATCTTAATCGCGCTTTTCTTGGGGTTGAGACTCCGAATGTTAAGCGGACCGCTTCAGCTTGTTGTGATGGGAAGAATACCATGTTAGGAGCAAGCAGGCATAGGACATAGGCACCCTCTATGCCTCTTCATCTGTAAAATTGAAATACTTGGATTGTGGTGCTGGTTAGGTGCGGTGGAGTCATTTGCGACTCATAGAGGCCCTCCACAGGGTTTCCGAGTCTGTAAATCTTTACGGGAGCAGAAAGCCTCATCTTTTTCCTGCAAAACCGCTGGTAGTTTTGAACTGCTGACCTTGAAATTAGCACCCCAATTCCTAACCACTACACTATCAGAGCTCCTTGGGCTGTGGTGAGGGTTAAAACCCTCTATCCAAGGCACACATACAGAGACGTTTTCCCACTGTATGTGTGGTTCCTGAATTTGAGTACGGTCATTGACCCTGAACAAGGTATTTTGAACTAAACTGCTATAAAACCACACCCTCGCTGTTCCAGAGTCCAGCACACATTCCTACACAGTTACTCAGTAGCTGTGTGGCTTAAACAAGTTTCTGAATTCAAACAAGTTTCAAAATATGAATAACCCATGGAGTAGTGGTAGGAACCTCCGATGTCGATGCATGTGTTCGTTTAAATATTAAGATACGCATGTGTTTTTTTCCTCCATATTATAAAAGAAACCAAGAGAAACATTGAATACTACCACTTGGTAACTCTCCAGCAAGACCTAGGATTCCCCTTGCCTCATAATAGAATAAAGGCACTTTTCACACACACAAAGCCTGAGGGTATTGAGCTGATTCTGTTACAGCATCCAAGAGTTAAGTTTGAGGCTAGAGTTTGCTTGAGGGTAATGACAATCCCAGGAAATAACAGAAAATGTACCTGTGAATATCAGGAACCTGGTAGGTAAAAGGGGCTGTAGGATCTTAGGTGGGAATTAAATGTCTAGCACCCTATGGAGACTGCACACCAGCCAAGATTCCAACCACAGCCAAGACACAAATTTGGCATAGATTCAGCAAAGCAGCCCACCTGCAAAGGAAATAGTAGACTTGGGAAATGAGTATATAAGTATCATGTTTAGATTTCATTGATGACTGTATGTTGATGTGTTCTCAAGAGTGTTCCTGTTGGGTGGGATTGAGACTGGAAGTGTGAGTGAAGTTGTCTGTTCACTGTGTAATGTAGTTCGGTGGGGTTCACGCACCTCCAGACTCCAGAGTGCAATGCCTAGTGCCCAACCCCAGGCAAAGCAGAAGCTGCAAAGTAGGGGGTGCCACAGGCCACTGAGCTGGCAAGGGTATGAAGAACAAGGGAGAACCTTCCTCCCCTTGCCATCCTGTCATGTTTCTCTAGGCCATTGTCTCAATTGTTGTTTCTGTGAAGTGTTATACAGCCCATTCTGACTCAAAGTGACCCTGTAGAGAGTTTCCAAGGAGTAGTTGATGGGTTTGAGCCACCAACCTTGTGGTTAGCAGTCCAATGCTTATCCTACAGTGCCACACCAGGATTCCTGTATCGATGTTGTTGTTAAGAACCATGGAGTCAGTTCCGACTCATAGTGACCCTGTGAAGGACTTCCAAGGAGCAGCTGATGGGTTTGAACTGCCAACCTTGTGGATAGTAGTCCAGAGCTTATCCTACACCCACAAAACCTCAAGATGGCCACACTGCTCCAGGCCAGGCAACAGCCCACCCATATCCAGGGCATAGTAGATATTTGGCTATGAATGGAGAATTGGATCTGAATGAGGAGAAAAAGATACAGTTTTGTGCCATATTGTTCTGACTCATAGCAAGCCTGCAGAGTTTCCGAAAAGCAGCTGGTAGGTATGAACTGCTGACCTTATGGTTTCAAGTCCAATGCTGATCCCATAGTGCCATACCAGTGTTGCTGTTATGTGCCGTGGAGTCGGTTCTGACTCATAGCATAGCAACCCTGTACAGGGTTTCCGAGGATGTAAATCTTTATAGGAGCAGAAAGCCTCATCTTTCTCCTGCGGAACAGCTGGTAGTTTTGAACTGCTGACCTTGCGGTTCACATCCCAATTCGTAACCACTACACTACCAGAGCTCCTTGCCATACCAGTACCTTCCCCTTAATCCATCATTCATACTCCCACCAGAGTGATCTTTCTGTAACATAAGCACAATTATATAAAATTCCCTGCTGAAAATCACTAATAGTTCACCACCATCTGTAGGGAAAAAGTCCAAACTCTTTAGTATACCACACAGGGCCCTTCGTGAACTGTCACTACCTACTATTTCAGCTTTATCTTCCAACTTTCCTCATTCAGACCCAATTCTCCAATCATAACCAAATATCTACTGTTCCCTGAATAGACCATGCTGTGTTCCAAGATTGTTTCTAACTGTAGCAGATTGGTTTAAGTTGGATTGTGGGGGGATCTCTGAGTCAGGCAGTGTATGATATTCTGATTGGCCAGATTTGGATCATGTGCCAACAGCTCCAGTAAAAATACATGGAATAAGGGAAGAGTGATTCCGCAGAGAAAAATCTAGGCACCATTCCAGAAAAAAAAAGAGTGTGGCTATTAGGCAAGCTAAAACAGACATCAAGTACAGAGACTCCATTTCTGTGCTCCCTTGGCATCCTGGTGTGGTGCTGCGGGTTAATGCACTGGATTGCAAAGTCGGTTTGAATCACACGGTAGGTGGTTCAAGCTAACCAACCTCTCCTAAGAATCCCTATACAGGGTTGCTATGGGTTGGAACCAACTCGATGGCACTTAACAATAACAGCATAGCATCCTAGACTCCTATCACAGAAAAATACTTGTTGGCTATGAACTGGGAACTTTATACCTGGGAAGGGCTTTAAAGATAACCCAGCTTTTTCATACAAAGAAAACACAAGTCTTTTAGAGAAAAGATAGGAACTATACTTTTCATCTTTGTGACCACCATATCTGATATTAATGCCTGACATACTAAACACAAAATCACAAAATGAAGGTCGATTGAATGATTTTATTTGAATCATTGCCCCATTTTTGAATGCCACAATTATCCTCTTTGTTGAAGAAAAAGAAACCTATTTTCCTTCTTAAAGACCTGTTTTCCTCTCAAAAAGAAGAAACAAGGTCAGGATTTCAAAGTGAGTTGTTCCAGGTTTTAGTTTAAAAAAAAAAAAAAATCAAACAACTGTAGCAAAATCAACCACATATAGCAAGTAGACAGAGTTTTCTAAAATAACACATATATAAATTTAATGTAGATAAAATCATTGACACCCACTACAACTTAAAATATTTACTGTTGTCATGTGGATAGGTAATTTTAGAATTCCTAGATTCACTGCATAGTAATTTACTATTTATAACTATGACTCATATGAATCATTTTAGAATTCCTAGATTCACTGCATAGTAATTTACTATTTATAACAGAAGTCATATGAATGCAAAAGAATCTTAATAATAAATTCCTTAAAGAAACTTTATACCTGGGAAGGGCTTTAAAGATAACCCAGCTTTTTCATACAAAGAAAACACAAGTCTTTTAGAGAATAATGACTTGCAGTAGTTACTAGCTACATTATGTCTAAATAGAGACTTCATTCCAGGTTCCTGCCTTAGTCAGCTATGCTATATTATCAGCTGAAAGTGATCAATCTTCTCTCTGAACTACAGTATTTAAGTGCCTGCTCAATTTAAATGTCTCCAACCTATATGTGACTGACTATTTGTCTTTGGAGTTTATCCCATGTGAGATTTCATCCAACTTTTCTATTAGTCTTTCATCTCTACCTTTCCTGAACTCTTACAACAGTAAGACTAGGACATTTTTTTCAAGCTTATCTATGCAAGGTAATGCCACAAAAAGAGCACAGTCTGCTGACAACCAAGAGACTACAAGATTACTCTCTGCAGACACTGGTCAGCTGAAGAAATCAGACTAATAGGTCCTGACAAGAAGGGTTTCCAGTCACATCATTCTAGTGTAGAAATCAAAAAATCACTAAGCTCCATCTTTATATCAGGTTTTGGTGACTATCTCTTAAATATGAACAGATAACCATAGAATACTCTCATTTTAAAAAGTAAGAACTTTTAACCGATAGGTAGAAATCAAAACCAATAACAACAAAAAAGAAAAGAAAACAATCGAAGGAAAAATAACAATGCAAAGAACAGAAAAAAAACCTTTAAAAAATTTTAATACATATCTTTAGAAAGAATAATTTGTTTCCATAAAACAAGATCAGAAAGTCACATAAATATTCAGAGAACCAAAATTAGCTCTTAGATATTAAAAATATAGTGTTGTTGTTGTAAGTGTTGTTAAGTGGGTTCGGACTCATAGAGATCCAGTATAGGGTTTCCAAGGAGCAACTGGTAAATTTGAACCGCCAACCTTGTGCTTCAAACCGACCTTGAAATCCTGCCCTTATCCTACAGCACCACACCAGGTGTCCAAAAGCATAGTTGTTGTTGTTTTTGTTGTTAGGTGCCATCGAGTCGGTACCAACTCATAGAGACCTTATGCACAGCAGAACAAAACACTGCCCAATCCTGGTCCACCCTCATTATTGTTGCCATGCTTGAGCCCATTGATGCTGCCACTTTGCCAATCCATCTCACTGGGGGTGTTCCTCTTTTTCTCTGACCCTCCACCTTACCAAACATGATATCCTTCTCCAGTGACTGGTCCCTCCTGACAATATGTCCGAAGTATGAGAGACATCCTGGCCTCCAAGGAGCACTCTGGCTGTACTTCTTC